GTTTCCCCCTTATAGCCACGAGTTTTACTGGATCAGGATTTGGGGCAAAATAGTGCATTGTTTATTTGCAGTTCCATCAAAAAGTGTTTACTGAATTACATTTTCAGAGATAGTTTTGAGAGATCTTTACAGAAGTTAAGATAACAAACACTGGAAATATTGGAAAATCTGGTTTTCAAATATTTTGTGCACAGCTGGGATTCTTGGTTTGCATCTTTAGCAGGCTTCTCATGCAAATGGCAATTAGTTGCAGCACTGATAAAATAAAGTGTTCAATATAACACTGAACGATCTAAAACATCATATCCCTAAATTGTAAATGTTATCTCTGTGTAGTGGTGCCATGAGGTGAGACACCATTGTCCCAACACTCCCATAATCCTCGTAGGCACCAAACTGGACCTGAGAGATGACAAGGACACCCTGGAGAAGCTGAAGAAGAATAAAATCTCTCCAATTACTTATTCTCAAGGACTGGCCCTGTCCAAAGAGATTGGTAATGGCTTCAGTTATCTCTGATACTTTTTTAAATGGTTAATTATAATTCATGGAAGACAGCAGATTCCAGTAATACCCCAGCTGCCTTCTTTTTCCCGTCCTTAGGTTCTGTCCAGTACCTGGAGTGCTCATCCCTGACGCAACGTGGCGTTAAAACTGTGTTTGATGAGGTCGTTCGGGCTGTCCTGTGCCCTTCACCCATCAAAAAGAAGGCAAATAAATGCTCTGTCCTCTAAGACTTCCTTCACTGGAACTGTTACAGGGGAACGTGACTGCTACTGGTGAGGGTGGCTGAAGAAATACAAGAAAAACAGCAGTACACATGCACAAAAACAATGTATTTCTGTCCTTCCATAACAGTTTCCATGTTTCCATGTAACAGTTATACCAATACACTGTCACTAATACTTGGTTGTTCGATGGGACCACTTGTTGGCTGCCCCACCCCACCAGTTACTCAGCTACCCAGTACTCACCCCTAAACTATGGTTGCCCTTCTAGTTATTTATATTAGATAGCTATTATTCAAAAAAGTTATTTGAATTCATCTTTATTATGTCTTCCTCTTTACTTGTACAGTCAGTCTGAGCACTTCACCGTACAATATACTTCTATAACTGTGTATGTGACAAATAAAATTGAAACGTTCTTGGAGACCTGGAATTTAAATGTGCTTACCTGGAAAGTGTGCTTGTGTTGATGAAACATCATTTTCCCCACTCTTTGAGCTACCTGGATGTTCTTTGCCTTTCTGGAAAGACTCTGATAGTGACCTCTGACCTCTGTGCTGGGGGGTCCTGGGTGTGTCTGAGGAATTTCCCTCCTCCTAAAGTTTCTTTTACTGCTTGCTCTGGGGGAAAATATCTCTTATTCCTGGTGTTTAAATAAACTGTTTCCTTTCTGTTTGTTTGTTTTGCCACAAAAGGGAATTTCTTTTCTACATGCATCGCTGTTTGCAGTGTTTTCATTTAAAGCCATAGAATATCTCCATTTCTCATTCACTGCAGCGAGCTTGTGTCTGCTTGAGGCAGCTTAGTCACGTGACAACAACAAAACAGCAGAGCAGGGAGGAGGATGAGGAGCGATGTGTGCGTGTGTGTGTGTGTGTGTGAGGGCGAGATGAGTATGTCTGCACTGGCATGGCTACTGTTTGATGAAACAGCAGCAAAATGTTGAATTTAGAGTAGAAAAACAAATTTAAGTTTCAATCCTGTCACACTATCGACCCGTCCACTTATTTTGGCTTTTTTTAATACCTCAGATGTGGTGGCTGCTGTTGTGCTTCATAATTTATGAGTAAGCTCATGTTAAATGCTAGATAATATTATCTCAAGTTATAGTTATGAAGATATCTGGAGCTCTGAGTTGGAATTTCAACAGGAATTTCCCCCTTAAGTCGGATTTGCTACTCGGAAAGTCCAAGAAGTCAAAGGATGTCGAATATGGAGCTGTCTGGCAGGAGAAAAGAGAAACCACAGAGAAGATCCACGCATGTAGCGAAGGAGGAAGTGGAGAGGATTGGGGTGACAGGTGAGGATGCCAGCCGGAGAGGGAGATGGATGCAGATGGTGACCTCTAAATAAAAAATTTAAAAAAGGAAGAAAAGAAAAGAAAATAGCCGAAGTCCCACTAACCCTGACTTAAAAACTCAAGCTGACAACAGTGCGCGTCAAACTGTAATATTAGAAGTCTCTGCAGTAGCACAGTTGTGTATTTATGACAGTGTCTTACTGCTCCTGCAGCGCAATGCAGAGCATTAAAAGTGTTGTTGTCGGAGACGGGTGAGTTCACTTAATGTGAGTTTATGTTTCACGCCTTTTTTTGTCGTGACTCTAGCGAAATATCTAGGTCTCGATAACAAAGATAATTTATAGTAGTGTAAATAAAATAAAATAAAAAATAACACCTATAGTTTTAGGTTGCTGGGCTTTTGGTGAGTTGGGATTAGACATTTGATTATACTAGTCAAATGTATTAATTAAAGTAAGCTGTCAGTATTTGTGTCTAGCTGCTCGCTGTACTGTCTTTAAGTGTAAAATTCATAAACTATATTCAAGTCAATTCAATTTTATTTATACGGCACCAAATCACAACAACAACTATATTATATGTTTACACACATACACATTTGTATTAACTTCTAAAATAATAATAATAAAAAAAGGAACACTTCAATTTCAACTGGAATTTCCCTCAAGTCAGAATTTCCACTTGGAAAGTCAGAGAAGTTAAATTATTCTGAATGTGGAGCTTAGAGGCAGGAGGAAAAGAGGAAAACTGCAGAGAAGATGCATGGAAGGTGTAGAAGGAGCAACAAGTGGAGACCGCTAAAAGGAGCTGCAGAAGGAAGAAGGTGGGAGAAGTCCTATCTCTCTCAACTTCAGAACCCAAGATGGACAACAGTGCATGCAAACAGTATTAACATGGCAATACTCTCTGTAGTACCACTGCTGCTGAATATCGGCCTCAATGGTTATATTTTGAGCGCACAACTAGTGATGGATGGATGGAGGGCTCTACCTTACCATGGAGCAAAAAACCTGTTTTCCTAGCTTTGACTGTAACACTGACGACACGCCCAGCCCCAGAACCAGCATCCGACTTTCAGGGAAAAAGCAAAGAAGCTTGATAAGAAATGAGCTCCTGGGCTGACAGCATTCCTCCAGTTGCTGAGGCGCAATGCAGAGCATTAAGTGTGTCGTCGTCGGAGACGGGTGAGTTCACTTACTCAATATTACTTTATTTTATTTTGTACACCTGGTTTTTACCTGTAAAATGTGATGGCTGTGGCTCAGAGCAGGTAGAGCAGGTCACCGGCTGATTGGGAGGTTGCTGGGTTAACCCCTGGTGCTCCAGTTTGTGTGCAAATACCCTTAGGCAAGATACAAAATTCAATTTGCTCTCCGATGTGTCGTTAAAGTTACTGTGTTATTATGATTAGGTATAGCTGCTACTTTAATGCTAACATTTACTGCTAGTTAAACAGCTAGCATTCACATGTGTACCAGACAGGGTGATACTTCTGATAAGTGTTGTGTTGTGATAAGTGTTGTTCAGTGATGTGGATGTCAGCTACTGTTCATATGTTCAGCTGCCAGAGGGGGGGCTGTGTGCCTGCCTAAATAGTTTTGGCAACCTGAGTCCAGTGTAACAAAGTTGAATGTCCATCAGTTCAGACACAGCATTGTTTTTGTGTTTTTTGCCATCTGTCAGTAAATGCTAATCCAGCTTCTTCTCCCCTACAGAGAAGTAGGTAAGACCTGTCTGCTCATCAACTACACCACCAATGCCTTTCCTGGAGAGTACGTCCCCACAGTGTGAGTATCTCACTTTGCAGTGCAGTGAGTATTTATTTATTTATTAAAGCAAGATTAGCAAACAGTGATCGGTCTCCACCCTCCTTTAAAATCAGTGCATTATATGAAAATTTGGCTTGCAGAGGAGCTTACAATCACAGCAGTGGACTGTAACTAGACCAGAAATACATGTTACAGGATGTTATGAGGAAACTCTTCAGCCTATCTCATTCTGATCCTAGCTGTTACTGTAACTGTGGCATGAAGTCATTGATAAACAAGCTTCCGAGTGAGTGAAATTTAAGAGAGCAGACGCCATAAAAGTCTACAATAAGGCAGATAAGATATCAACTTCCACTTCAGTTGTTTTTTTCAGTAGTTATATCTTGACAGTCTATATAAAGCCAGAAGGGTTTGGTTTATTTGCGCTTCATCACTTCTGTCAGGTTCGACAACTACTCCGCCAATGTTTTGTTCGATGGGAAGCCGGTGAGCCTGAACCTTTGGGATACAGCAGGACAAGAAGACTATGACAGACTCCGCCCCCTTTCCTACCCACTGACGGTACAACAACCACAAAAAGAAAGATCACACAATGTTGTGCTATACTTCACTTACATTACTGTGCAAAAGATTTGAGTCACTCCTTAGTTCTTTATATTTCACTTCCAATGAAGTAAGATGTTCCTATGATTTTTTTTAAAAGTGGTCTTCAGCAGTAGTTCTCCATGCTTTCTGAAGGTCTTTAAGTTTTCCGTTGGACATTGGCAGCTTTTTCACTGATTTTCAAAATATAAAGAATTGAGGCTCTGACTGTTTTGCTTTCTTTGTCTTACCAGGATATTTTTCTCATCTGCTTTTCCCTCGTGTCTCCTGCGTCATTTGAAAATGTCCGTCATAAGGTGAGTAGTCGCTATATTATGGAAAGGTGGCTGCACAATGTCAGGTACTGACAGTGTCAGTACTGTCATATCAATATCATGACATTTACTTATATTGTGCCTGTGCTGCAAAGCAAGCACAAGCTGCTGTGGATCAAGACCTAACCATAAATTCAATGGAAAAATGTAACTATATTTTCCAAAGGATTCTAACATGATGGAAAGTAGACCCGCAACTACAAATTAATTTTATTAGTGAATAATGTGAGTTAATTTCTATTAAGTAGTGAGTTTTCATAAAACCAGAAAACGACAAGAAAGTGGAAAAGGGCGACAAAATATTTAGCATTTTTTTACTTTTAAAATGTGCCATCAAAATTATGTTAGGCATATTTTCTCTTAATAAACAAAGTTTTTTTTTTACTAAGTGTGATTAATCTGAAGTGTGACGTATGCCAACTAAGCAACCCACTGCAAGCAGCCAGGAGTAGCAGACTGGATCTCCAAGGTGGAAATCACTGCTGAGAACACAAATGTCTCACATTTGCCAAAAAGCATCTGGATGATCCCCAAGACACACAGCATTTCATAAGAACACCATCATACTAACAGTCAAACATGGTGGTGCTTGTATGAGGGTCTGGGCTGCTTTGCTGCTTCAGGACCTGGACAACTTGTTGTAATTGATGGAACCATGAATTCCGCTTTCTACCAGAAAATCCGGAAGAATTTTTGGCCATCAGTTCATGCCCTGAGACTCAAGAGGTCTTGGATTATACAGAGGGGCGATGATCCAAAATACACCAGCATGTCCACCTCTGTATGGCTCAAAGAAACAAAATGAAGATTTTGGGGTGACCTAGTCAAACTCCAGGTTTCAACCTGACTGAGATGCTTAGGTAACCTTAAACAGGGCTTTCATGCTTGCAAACCCTCCAGTGGGGCTGAATGAAAACAATTCGGCAGAGAAGAGTGGGTCAAAATTCCTCCACAGTGATGTGAAGTACTCATTAGCAGTTAATACAAATGCTTGATTGCAGTTCTTGCTGCCAAGGATGGTACTACCAGTTATTAGGTTCAGGGGCAATTACTTTATCACAGTTATTTTAGATCATCTAATGTGTACCAATGCCGACCTATTGCTCTGGCTTTGGATTTCAAAGGGGTCTTACTCCCTTCTTCCCCCTTTAAAAGAAACTTCTTTTTGTTTTTTATTTTTTAAATAATGTAGCAACTGTATGGCATTGTATGTTTGTAGCCAGGTAATAAGCATTATTTTGTAACATTTAGTGTTAAAGCCTTCAAACAACCAGTCGAACTCACATCCACACCTACAGCCAAATTAGATTCGTCACTTAATCCAACATAAATGTCTTTGAGTTGTAGAAGGAAACCCTCAAAAGCACAGGGAGAACATACAAGCTCCATTTAGGAATGCTCCACATGATTCCTTCACCAAAAATCAAAAGAATGACAATGCAAATAGGAGGTAGCTGCAGCTTCAATAAAATAAAGTGTTCAAGGTGGTGCAGGCCGAGCTGGGAAGTTAAACTCATAAACATTGTGTCTTTGCAGTGGATTAAAGAGGTGAGACACCATTGTCAGAACACTCCCATTATCCTCGTGGGGACCAAAATGGATCTGAGAGATGACAAAGACGCTTTAGAGAAGCACAAGAAGGAGAAGAAGACTAATCTCTCTCCCATTAACTACCCTGATGGACTGGCCCTGTCCAAAGAGATTGGTAATCGCTTCAGTTATCTCTAATACTTTTTCTTTTAAATCATCACGGAAGATGGCAGATTCCAGTAATAAGCCTGGAATCTGGCTCTCTGTTTCCTGTCTTCAGGTTCTGTCAAGTACCTGGAGTGCTCAGCTTTGACTCAATGTGGCGTTAAAACTCTGTTTGATGAGGCCATCAGGATTGCCGTGTCCCCTCCACCTATCACCAAGAAGACAAAGAAGTGCTCTCTCCTCTAAGACTTCACTGAAACAGTGTATTTCAGATTCTGTCCTTCAATGTGTGTAGCTGCATCAGTTATACAGTTGTAAGGTCAATTTTAGGAGACAAATCAGTATACACTTCCTAAAAGTGTATACTGATTTTTGGTAGTAGAAATGTTTCCAAATAGACTGTACACATGCTGTAAAAAAGAAATTCTTTGATCTGGTGTCTCTTTAAAACACAGCTGACAGTCTGCTGCTGTTTCCTGCTCAACCACATCAAGCATTTACAAGTTAAAAACGCCAATTTGTCGTCACCAATTTGTAACTGTTACAGTTGAGAATTAAAGTGGAGCACTAAATGTATTGAGCCCCAGTCTTAAAATAAACTCAAAGTCTTGACACTTTCTGTAAAATTATATTTAAGTTTTGTTTTTTAGAGCATGTTTTATGCCAACCTGTCCAAGTATAGAATAGGTTTGGTTGGTGCTAACAGACATTGTTTTATCTAACTAGTCACAGAACTGATAACGCTGAAGAAAAGAAGGATACTAAAACTACAAAAGCAATCTAGGGGAGTTACCCTTGTACTGTATATGACAGCAACAACTAGTTTTCTCCATTGTTGGCTAGCTGCACTGAAACAGGAGAATCCACCTGTCAGTGGGAGTTTTGTAGAACTATAAATGAGGACTGTGTTGAGGAAAGCCTCTTTGGTGCATTTGTGGCTCACTGGAGTCAGACACTGTCCCCTTTGTGTTTGATATTTCCTTGTGGGGATGGGTTGACAGACATAGCGGTGCAATCAGCTGGTAGAGCAGACCTCCACAAAATATGATCACAACTACTTTGTGCAATTTTACAGTGTAATTTAACCCCCAGTTATCACTGTTCAGTTATTCTTTTAACAAACACTTCCAAACTGTTTACAAAAGGTTACAAGGATGTTTCCAAATAAAGTGGACTCAATGTAACTATAATATCTGTGACATCAATGTAGTCAAAAGATAGCAAATCTGCACACACGCACACAGAGTGGAGCAGTCACTTTGGGGGAAACCTAGAAGGAAAAAAAAAAAAAACTAATTTTAGCTTAAAAATAGAACTTCTAACCAAAATGATGTCAAGCTCAGTCCTGCACTTATATTCCATACATACACTGCGAGGTTTGAATTGGACGAGATGAGTGAAAAACAATTCCTGGGAATTATTAGTGGGACATGAAAAATTCTGTCTGAAGCTCTCAGGAAAAGGGGCCTGTTCACAACAATTGATAATGAGCTTGACCCTTCTAAGGGTTTGAAATACAGTTCAGTACGGGCAAAGGATGAATGCTGCACACAAGTGATGCTGACTGAGCACAAAAACAGAAGAGACAACATGAGCGAAGCAGCGAACAAAAAATGATGTAATCCGTTTTACTTCAAGGTGACACAGTTTCAAGCTTTGACAGGCGGGACATTATTTGATTTTGGAAAACTGACCTTCAAGTTTCAAACAGGATGTTGGGAAACCTCATTTCTTTGTAACAAAGCATTTTGTTTCCTGAAAACACTCAGCACAGAGGCAATGATTGCCATTAAGTTGTGAACTCCATGTAGACAAGGAATCTCATATGTGATGCAAAGAAATTTAAATAAATCTTATTACAAGATAAACCAAAACTTGATAACGTCTCGTCATCATAGGTCATTAGTAGCACATTTGGCACAGAATCTGCACTTGAATACTTAAATTATTCCATTCAGTCTTTTTATAAACACTTTTCATTCCGTTCATAAATTTCTCATCGTCCGTCAGCGCCTGACGTCAGCCTCACGAATCCACAGATCGCAAAAGGGTCCCTGAAGTTGACGGTATGCTGGAAAGAAAGAAAGCATTCATTAAAATCAGTGGGATCAGACGAAAACTTGACTCGAGTTAGGTGGAAAACAAGTCAGATTGTTTTGGACGTTAAAGAAAAGCAACCACACTTCAAGACAGACGTAATTTTAAAGACCAAGAGTTGTTATAACTGTTTGACAGTAACACGCACACATTAGTGACCATAAAGACTAATAATCCTATTCCATGTCAATAGACCAAATGGGAAAAAGGAAACCTTTGGGAAAGTAAACCATCACACATTTTGGATCTGTTACCACCAGACACCAAATCTTTCTAGAAAAGTGAGATTGGAAATGTCAGATGATGCCATTTGTTGGTACATCACAAAGAACTTCATCTAATTAGAGTAGTTTTGTGATAATAAAACTACACATTAAATTTAATATGAGGGGATACATTTATAAGAGGTTAACACATGAAAGTGTTATAAACTTAAACTCCTGTCTTTGAATTGTTTTTTCTACAGCCCTTTAAATTTGGCCTGTATAAGCTATACTAGCAAATTTTTAAGCTAATTATCGCTCAACTGAATGTGAGATTATTTTGAAATTCCACATTGCTGAAGTCATAGTACCAGATACTTGACCTAAAAAAATTTTGAAAGACACAGGTCTAGTCTCCCTGGACTCTTTTCAGAGAAATCAAAGATGGTCGGATTGGGAATTTTTCTTAAATTTAGTCCAGTTACTGAAATAAGATTGAGAGCAGCTGTATTTAATGCCTTAACAGGTGGTTAAACTGACATACTAAGATAAAGGTAAGGAAAGGAGGTAAAAAATAAATAAATAAAATCAAATGTTTGCCCATTTTCAGAAGTGATAGGATCCAGTCTTATTACCTCTCTACCAGCTCTGCGCCAACAATGTCATGAATGTGGTATTTCATATGGAATTTCACTTGTGAATTCGTCCGCCGCTCCTCAATTTCTGCCTTTAAGACTTCGCCGTATTTGGACTTCTTAACCATGCTGAGCACTGCTTTACGGCCTAACGGCAAAATGAGAACAAGGACATTAATGGGTGTCATAACTAAAAGAAATTGCCGTTACGATTCAATCAAGTGAGATTCAACACCAACCTTTTATGAAGTACTTTGTGAATTTGCCAGAGTTGGGAATGGAAAGCCACCAGCTGCCTGCATCCCTCACAGTTAGGACCCCAGACTTAACCAGCTGCCTGTGTGTGGGGAGAAAACAGATTCTGAGTTGATCTTTATCTTTCAGAATGGCCAAGTCAGAGGTTACACATTCATTCAATAATGCCAAGCACAAAGTTATGGAAATCGGTATAAACAGCTTTAATGCCATAGAAAATGTTATTCTCTGCTACCCCTTTAAATAAATTTCAAACTCTTTCAGTCATTGTCAGCAGTGTTGGTTTGCTTTTTATTTATTTAGGAAGTTAAATGTTAAACTATGTCTAAGATAGAAGGTTTGGGAATGATAAAGCTAAATAATAAACGCATGCAATATATGGGTGTCTTTCATACGTTATCTCAGAGTCTGTGAAGAGAAACTCCTTCAGCATTTTGTCTTTCGTGAAGCTCAGATCTGTGCAAGCGGACACCACTTTCTCCAAAAACCTCTCCACGGTGGCTCTTGTGGTTTTGCCCTCTTCTCCCGCCAGCACTTTGGCCTTGTAGTCAGAAGTAAAAACCAACCCAAAGGCTTCTGCGTCAAACCCGAGCTGGAACATCAGCAGATCTCCTCGTTCACGCATCTTATTCTGTTACCGAGGACAGCAGCGAGTTGTATTTCACATCTGAATCTGCAGAGATGATTACACATACATTTCTAACACTTAAAATCCACCTTACCACCTCCTTGTCCACCAAAGTCTTGTCACTGTGTATGCTGTAGAGCTGGTGCTTCAGCAAAATTTGAGGCAGTGCATCATTGAAGAGCTTTCTGGGAAATAGGGTCATGAGGTACTCCAGACTGGATTTAATGTCAGCTGGTCCTTTTAAAGTGAAGAAATGACAGTGTGAACTTCAAATGAAGAGTTTTTTGATCACATTATTGTAGATTTTTTAGGAGTCATACACCCACCCTCTTCAGCAGCAGTAGCTCCAAATTGTTCTGTGCCATTTTTTCTCTTCTTCAGATTGAAAGCGTCTGAAATCAGAGCCCGTTTCCTGCTCATACCTGAAGGAGAAATTTGCACCTGTTCACTCCAAGATGCTGCTTTCCTCGCTACACAACGCAGAGCCTATTAAAAGACCTTTAAATGGTCAATCATATCATTATTTCCTACTAATTAAGAACAATGCCCCACAGTCAAGATCCACTCCTTTGCCAATTTCTGATGAATGAATTATAAGACATAATCTCATATTTTCCATAAAAGTACCCTCAGAAAACAAGTTTTGTTAGGTTACAAACACTACACCGTTAGCCATGCTAACGCTAGCTTGTTAATCAACATTAGACCGAGCTATTTGAATTCGAAAATAATTTTCGTCCTTACCTGATGAATAAACCCAATAATAATGTGTTTTTACATCACTTTATTCCTTGCCAGAGCCACAAACCAGCCCAACAGCTACAGGGAACTGCTACAACTCTTCTTTTCACGGATATTTACAGTGTTTTTAGAGGAAGTGTCGCCACTACCAACGAGCAGCGGATTGGATGGAAAACTGCACACGGAAGTGGCGTTAGCTTGTTGTTAGCGTGTGAGACTGGTTAGCTGTCCCGCTACAAAAAACAAGGCAGCGTTTTTCTAACTCAGCTACTTCTTGGTTTTAGTCGGTAAAGATGCAACAAACGTATGTTTGTTGTTCCTGTGCAAAGTCTGTTATTTTATTTCCTCTGACATAATATAAACAGGGAACTTCTAACGTTAGGTTAGCAACCTCTGCTCGCTGTGCTGTAAAGAGGTAGGTTATCACTTACTTACGTCTTATTTATTCATGAAAGTACTCTTTAGTTTTTGTAGTGGGGTTAGTAACAGCGGTATTAGGAAACCTTTGTTAATTTTAAACATGCATTTAATTGAGAAACAGTGCAGACACACGCCAGACATTACCTGCCTCTTTTCCATTCAACATTCAACACATAAACTGTTATAAGCACATCAGGCGGTTCTAGGTCCAGACATGCTACATTTAAACTTAAACTAATTCATTGTTTGTGCACAATTTGTTACAGAGAGGAAATAACACATTTCTAATTTTAAATATGCAGCACTGTGCAAAAGTGCCTTCTTGGAAGCAAAATAAAAAGACATGAGGAGTAGCTTAAGCCCTTTACACAATATTGTAGGTGGAATTAACTGATAGTGGGAAAAGTATTTTTAGAAGTTAGCTAAAGAATATGCACATATACATTAACGCTAACGTAACTTATCCCTGAAAAAAATGCACTTAAAGAACAAAAACTCATAAATTCTTTCTGTCCAGCTATGGACCCCCACAGATCCAGCATCAGCTATCACAGCCATCAGTCCTCGTACAAAAGACAAAGAGACGACAGTGGCAGAAATCCTCGTGAGAATAAACACTTCAGAACGAACACACAGCACCAGTATCGGTCTGAGTCGGCTCTGGGTCAAAACCCTTTGAGCTGCAGGACTTTAAGCACGAGAAGAGAGCTTTATGAAAGAGACTTTCCTGTTTACAAACAGCCTGTGGAAGTGGGATGTTTTTCCCTCGACTCTGAGCGTAGATTCTTCAACGACAGCAGGCAGATGAGGTACTACGTGGAGCCTGACAAGAATCCAAATTTCAACCTGAGGGATGGATACAGGGATCGCTTTATAAAAAGAGACGACAGTGTGAAGGAGAGGCTGGACCATATTCTCCGTTGGATTGTAGCCAATAAATCAAAGATTAACCCAACAGGGGCAGCAGCCTCACCTCGGTAAGTGTAGCTGTGAGGTTCCTGTTTTTATTGTATTTCTCTTCAGGTGATCAAGTAGGTCCCACACACAGAGAGAGAGAGAGATAAACATTATTGATCTCTAACCACAACAACAGTTCCTACTGGACACGTATTCTTTGATCAACCTCTACTCTTTCCAGCGCTTTAGATGTCGACTTTGTGACATGGCGGGGCCACCTAACTAAGCTGCTGACCACTCCTTATGAGACAAGGGAAGGCTGGTTGTTAGCAGTCACCAGGTTCAGGGGCACATTTTACATCAGTGAGGTGGAAACGGAAGCTGCTCGCAGGGAACGGGAGAACCGCACCGAGAGGCATGAAGAGATGATGTACTGGGGATACAAGTTTGAGCAATACACATGTGCAGGTAGGTGGGTTTATGTAGCAGTAAACAAGTACCTTATTTTTCCTTTTTTTTTTTTTGAAACTTTGGGTACTGATTAAAACTGCCTTACCCACAGCTGATGATTCACAGGCATACCTCATAATCAACTGGTTTTATATTCACAGTCCATTCACAACATGTGAGATTTCCACTATGGGAAAAAAATGCTAATGGTATAATAAAAAACCCCAAACAAAAACAGTACTGTTGCCTCACAAAAAGAAGATCCAGGTTTGATTTCACCGGCTGTTTTTGTGTGAGCTTTGCTGCCTGTGTGAGTGTGTTAATGCTGCAATAGACTGGCAGCCTGTCCAGGTTGTACCTCACCTTTTACCATTTCACACTTGGGTAACGATTTCTGAAACCGCTAATTTACTGGGATTTTCCCACATAACCATCTCTAGGGTTTACAGAGACTGGTTTGAAAAGAGGAAACATCCAGTCAGGGGCAGTTGTCAGGGTGAAAATTCCTCATTGGTACCAAAGATCAAAGAGAGACTGCTTGGAACTGATAGGAAGGCAAGAGTAACTCAAACAACCACAATCGAGGTAATCAGAAGACCACACCAGGTGCAACTCCTGTCAGCTAAGAAAAGTAAGCTATAATTCATCCAAGCTCAACAAAACTGGACAATAGAAGACTAGAAAAATGTTGCCTGTCTGATGATTCTTGATTTGTGCTGCACTGGTAATGGCAGAATTGGGGATAAACAACAGGAAAACACAGATCCATGCTGCTTTGTGTCAGCAGTCCAGGCTGCTGGGTCCCTTAGTACCAGTTGAGCATCATTTACATGACACAGCCTGAGTATTGTTGCTGATTATGTTCATCCCTTTATGACCACAGTGCCTATCTTTTAAAGGCCGCTTCCAGCAGCTGTCCTTTTAAAAAGTTATCTTCATGTCTTCATGTAATTGAAGAACTCGAGTAACAGCAAAGACTCATAAATGCAGTATAAAGCTTACCATGATTAATTAAAAATTCTACACTCTATAAAAATGTAACGTGATTATTATAATGCCCAACACTGACTTCAAATCATTATTTTTTTATTTTTTCTGTTCATATCCGTGTGTCCATTATATTAGATGTGAAAACTAAACCTAGATCATATAGAGCACAGTTGTAAAGTTTCACCTTTGTCTCTCCTGTAGACAATACCCACAGTCTACCTGACCCTGGTGGAGTGGTTAACACCAACGAGGCCTTCTGCACTGTGGTGCAAACTCGGCTCGCGGATCACAGACTGCTGTTCTCCGGCGAGGTGGACTGTCGGGATAAAGATCCCAAAGCTCCGGCTGCTCCTGCCTGTTATGTGGAGCTGAAGACCTCTGCAGAGATCTGCACCCCCAAACAGCGCAGCAACTTCCACAGGTACAGGATAAAGTAAAGCCTCATAATTTTCATGTTATGTGGTTGGCTGGATGGTAACGCTTTTATTTTGGCGCTCCTCAGGTTCAAACTGCTTAAGTGGTGGGCCCAGTCTTTTCTCCCGGGAGTCCCTAGAGTGGTGGCAGGTTTCCGAGATCAGGAAGGTGTCGTTGTTTCCGTGGAGACCTTTCACATTTCTAAGATCTCCCATCTCATCAAGGTAAAGCAATAAATAACTCGTGATTTAAAAACATCTGGCAGCACACCATGAGCACACTTCATGAGCCTTTTGTACATCTTTTAAACAGAACGAGTACAACTGCTGGAAGCCGACAGTATGCATGAACTTTTGCTGCGATTTCCTGTCTTTTCTGAAGCGTGTAGTTACCGAAGACAGTCCTAGGTGAGCTATAACAACACTTTTAAAATATTCTGGTTTGGGGTAAATACATGTTAATCTCTTTCTGTTGTCATTTCAGAGTGGTGCACCTGTTCTCCTGGGATCCCTACAAAGATGTCACCTACTCTGCCCACAGAGACTCTCAGTATTGCTTCCTGCCACACTGGTATGTTGAGGAGATGACGAGAAGTGAAGACTCCCAATATGAGTCTAAAGCATAATTCTTCTGCACTGAAGTCTGAAAGCCTGGAGTTGATTCATTCCCTTCCAGTCAATTAGAAGAGGAGGAAACAGGCCAATCACAGTTGTTTTGAGGAAGGGAGGTGCACGTCAGCATAGGTTATTGTGACGTAATATTTAACCCTACGTATGGCTCTGATAAACTGAATTGCAGAAGTATAAATTCCACCTAAGGCATGGTCACGAATGCATCATTATCCTGTAGACCTCTAGTCGAGGACTCTTTATCAGAATCTGGACATTTAACGTAGTAAGCATTTGCATGAGCTCACCAATCACTACTCATCAGTCTTCTGGGGGAATTCTTTTATTTTTTTAAAGCAGCGATGAACTACATTTTATCTGGCATGTAATGTTCTAAACAAAACACAATTAAAGAAATCAATATTGTTTCTCAATCGTTTTTATTCCCTGGTTATAACAATAATTTAAAACCCACAAACAGTGTTATGTTTATTTAAACAAAATTAGAAAATCTGTGTTTTGTTTTGTTGTTGTTGTAAATGAGTCAAGATGATATCAAATAAGAACTGGATGTAAACAAAGTTCATTTTGTAAAATATAAAAAGCAAAATTGGAAAGCTTTAATCAAAAAAACAAACAGTTGGAGCTGTTTTTCCTAACTGCTACCAAATATAAGTGACAACTGGCAGAGGAGGTGAAATCTGGTAAATGTGTCACTTGGCTAGAGTATTGATAGAACAACAAAAGGTCTAAAGGCTGCGGTGTTAAAGGGAAGCGCCTCTCTAGGTTATAACCAAGACGTAAAGAGAGAAAAACCAGTTTAACAACAGCAGCAGGGGAGTGGATCAACTGTCAACCGGCGTCAAGTTGAAAGGCAGCATTAACTGTCATTTGCCACATCAGAGAGAAAGTACTGTGACAAATGCTGTGAATCACTGCGATCCCCGACGAGTTTACACTACTCGCAGGGAACTGATAGAAATAATGGAAGACATCTCTGTGAAAGAAAAAGAGCGCACGTCGAACACTGCGATATTGAAAACAGTAGAAAAAACTCAGTGCATCAAGTGTTTGTGTAGATCAACAGTCACTGAATAACTTACAAACGAGTGACAAAAAAAAGAATTAAACCATCGCCAAGCATAAAAATGAAAAAAGTGCCAAAACCTGCAGCTCTTTAGAGTGAGACTGGCTTCAAAAGAGTCAAAACCCTGTAACCTTTGATGTTAAAATGCCCAGCTTTACAACAAAAATAAATGTGTTTGCAACCTGATACAGTTTCTTTTTGTCTTTATAACCTGTTAGTCCCAGTCATGGTTGCTTTCTTATATAAACTTTACAAAAGCTCAAAAGTAAAAGGTGTGGCTATGCTGACTTACAGGTACGTGCCGACACAGATGTCTGCTCAGCTTAACCAGTTTTCGTAGCATTGGTGTCTTCTGTCGTGTAATAATCTCACCAGTAGTAAACTATCAAAGAAGCTTATGTTCCAGTCTTGCCACCAAGTCATTCATAAATAGTCACTTCTGGCTCATAAACCCTCCAAAACTTGATAACAACAACATTTTAGCAGCCAAAACCTTAAAATGCAGAGTATAAAGCTAATCAGTGGTTGATAGTGGCTCCATCCACGTTTTATATTCAGGCTAATGGGGGAAACAAACCTCAAATTCCTGCAGTGAGGAAATATTATACTCTGAGTGATTTCATGAACACACAACAGTAAGAATCAGAAGCTACAGCTTTTGCAGTCACAAGATCACAAAACAAGCTAATTTGAGAGAACTTTGTGTGTAGGTGTTAGTTGGTGTACTCCACCACCAGCAACATAATGAGGGTGTGTCTTTTGGAGGAATACTGTTTATCCCTTTAAAGGTTCAAAGACTTGAAGAATACATGCTGAGGTGCACTGATGCTGTGGACACACAACTAAGATTTTAGCTTGTTTTTTTCCTTTAATTTGTCACTCATCTGCATGTCAGTTCATACAGTTTCTTTTTCATAATGCATTACAATCAGAGGCACTTGCTACCTACAACTACTGCAGCACGTGCAGACACATATTCACTGTGCTTTTCCCTCAATTTATATTAAATTAATTTAATGAGGTTTCCATCTTGCAGGATTTCACAACTGGATAAATTCACAGTTAAAAACTTAAGTGTATGTAAAGAATGGCCCAGTGGTTTAGATTAAGGCAGCAGTAAACTTATCATCACGTGCAATAAAGCTCAAATGTTAAGATAAGTCTTAAATTGAAATACACTTTTTCAAATTCATATGAAAATGTAAATGTAAAGACAAATATTATTCATCTCCTATAGTGAAATATGAAACTACAGCAGACTCATGACAAAAACTCGGACCAGGGGAAAGCAGCTAGTCTGGCCCATTGATTTGAACCAGTAATTTCTTGAAGAGCATGTATATTTCCACGAGAGCTGTATCAGTCTTTCAGTGCAGCCAACATCTCTTAGAAAGAGGCCAAACAGGTGTATTTGTGTTCTTTTGCCTAAACTGTTTTTGTTTTTTTTAAATCATCACCTGACAGAGTTTTATTTTTTAACAGTAGAAAGTTCAGCTCTTTGAAAGGTGTTCTTTTCAAACAGTTACTCAATACAGGACCTGTTTAACTCGCCTCACACTAGAAGATATTATACAGGAAACCAAACTAATAAATGATGTCTGTATGTTTTTCTTTGTCACATAAACTCAGTTAACTTTAGTCCCTGCAGGATCATGCTGAACCAAGAGAAATGCACCAGTGGAGAGGATGTGTATGCACAGATGTTCACAGTTAGAGGTTAACAATAGCAATAATTAAACCCCCCTCTGGTTTTGTTATATAATTTGGGAATGGAATAGGAATGTGGGGCTCCCAAAGCACCATTGCGGGATCATATTATCGTGCCTATGCGATAGAAACAATTCATAATGTTAGTAATAGCATCAGCAGGCTTTAAAACCTACTGAGGATGAGTGCACTGATGCTTTGCTGTGTTCAGGTAGCCGTCTTTAGTGCTTCAGTTTCTTGTTCATCCCCATGATTCTGAAGGTCACTGCAGCGATCTTCTCATACACAACAAACATGAGGGCAGCCGTCAGTACCGTCTGTAGCAGCTTGGCCTCCAGGCCTTTGTACAAACCGAGAGCACCGTGCTTCCTGCGATAAACACGGGTATACAACTGTGACCACTGCTACATATTCACACATGTGCTTGTTGTGAGTCGAGTGACTAGATAGTGTAATTTTAGAGATGCTGCACTCACTTGATCCGGTCCATGAGCAGGAACAAAATGTTAGAAAGGCTCCCCATCACACCACCACCCTCGGCGTCACTTTTATACTGGCCAAACTGATGAAAAAGAATAAAACAAGTGATGCATGTGTAGTAAAGATTTAATATCATTTACCAGTCATGCATATTCGCTATGAGTGTTTGATGGTATTAACCATATAAAGATGCTCTGGTTTCTCTAAAATTTTTCTATTAATACACACTCACCGGCCACTTTGTTTAAACCGGTTCATCTGCTGATCAATAGAAATATCTAATCATCCAATCACATTGCAGCAACCCAGCTAATTTAGTGATATAGCGAAGTTGCTGCTGAGCATCAGAATGGGAAAGAAATGTGATTTAAGTGAATGTAGCATGGTTTTTGGTAGCAGGCGTTCTTATCTACTGGGACCGGATCAGAATTTTTTTTCCCTAATAAAGTTTCTGAGGAGTGTATACAAAATTAAGTCAAATTTACACAATGTTGTGTCCCAGACTCAGCCAGGAGTTCCACTTTAGTTTTTAGTTTTAGAGGAAACATCATTTTGCCCGTGTAAGAGTGTAATAGACGGCTTTTGGCACATATAAAATTACACAGATACAATTTGTAGTTGTTTTTGTCTGTTTACTGAATTTTCTGTCATTGCAAAAATGTTGAACTTCATCAGCCTAATCTTTGAAAAACAGAATACAGGAATAACATTTTCTGTATTAGAGTATTTACCCTCAGTATGGCCTGAACTGTCTGCAGAGGATACGTGGCAGTGGTAGCGATGGCCTTGGCAATGGCTCCAATGAGAAAAATCTTTGCTGAGGATATCTGTGGTAAAAGATGAAAATTCACAGGTCAGGTGACTGACCGCTAGATTGGTCTAAACAGGGTCCCTCCTGATCACAGCCCTTCAGCTACGGAATGACAGCATGCTGACTGATTAGCTTCAATAATGCAATATTGCATACATCACTGGCTCTCTTTAAGTCTTCTTACCTTTCTCCCTCCTCTGCCTGCCTTCCTCTTCATGGCCTCATAAATCATGAACTGCACAGCAGGGTTGAGTACGAGGACGAGAGAGGGCAAAGTGCCGTTCCACAGAGTTCCCACCCCCTCGTTGGCTATGATCTGTGAGAAAGCATCTGAAAGAGAAGCAGTGAGGTTTGAAAAATCACACAGACACAAGACAAGCACGTCAGAAGTTTTGACCTGTTTAACAGATATGAAGCACTCACCAAATATGCCTCTGTAGTGAGTCTGGTGGAGGTCTTCGTTTCTGAACTTTACCCCCTGCATCTTCAGTCGAGTGTTGACCACCCACATGGGAGTGGTCAGGATCACATTCACCACTCCTACATGAACAAGAGATATTCAAGTTTTTTGAATCCACAAACCAGAGGATAATATCACCATCTTTTGCATACAGTCTATGGGATACATGCATGCAAACGTTTCACACACAAATCCAGGATTCATCCATTCAATCCAGACATCTGTCACACAGTCACTCCCTCCACTTTTGAAAAGTTTGCCTTTTGTGCTACAGGCTTCTCTATTAATTGGACACCTTGCATCCATTTAAGTCTTTCAGACAATTTCCATCAGGTCAGTACTTACCTGACACAATTCCAATGAGCAAGTCTTTCCCAGGTCTGGACTGGCCTGGACCAGATGCCATCAGCTTCTTCAGCGAGTTAAACGTGTAGAAGTAGACAAAATTGGAGCAGCAAAGGCTGGAGATAACTGGGAACCAGCCTCTGTACAGTGACAGACTGGGAGAGGTAGTGATGAGGCATTTGAGTACTGCGTTTTCAGTCATGTGGCCAAAACATCATCCTAAACCATGGATTAGATTGCAGCTGCAGCTACCAATTATTTTCATTAACTGTTTATATCTGTGATTACCTTGTTTTGGTTCATAACATTTGGTTAAATTATAAATGTGGTCAAATAAGAGTAAAACGAGGCTTAACTTGTGTAATTTCTAACCAGAAGCCTCAGTGATTTTAAATTCCCAAACTATACGTACAAGCCTTCTTCCTTTGCTATCTCAGCCAGAATGACTGGAGTTGAGTTCGACTTTCTCTTCTCATCCACTGAAAAACAAACACAAATATGCCAGAAATCATGTAATGAGTCTCTGGACAATGATT